CTGTGATAAGTGGTGCCCCCTGTGTGGGACTGTCATGTCCCTGCAAGACTCTGAGCGTCTCTTCTTTCTTCTTAGCGTGCTCAGCCTTTCCCCCAGCAGGGATGTGGTCGTCTGTGTGCACAGAATGTTGGATCTGTCCCTGCTCCTAAGCCCCTGGCGGCAGCAGTGTCCTGTGTAAGGAAGCCCTTCTGCGTGGACACGGACAGTGGGAAGAGAGACGGTTGCCGGAAAGCAGACAGATTGAGGATCCTTGTAGGAAATTCATATGCTTGCTCAACAGAGGGGCTTGTGGGATGATAGAAGAAGAGAAAGTGAGGGGGCGTATGGAGGGGGGTGCTGACCGGGGGACCCACAGGTGTGCTCGGGAGGTCTGGGTGCAGAGCATGTGGGAGCAGGGCCTTCCCCCAGAGGGAGGTGTGCGCGCGCTCACTGGGCCTGAAGGAGCAGAGGCTGGAAATCGATTGCAGGCCCCCAGTTTGCTTCTGTTCCTAGGGCATCCTTGACACACATCTTCTTTTGACCACTAGATGGAGAGCTAATGTTATTATTTTATATTTCTGAGGAAAAATTGAAATCAAATAGGGAGCTTTTTTGTCTGTTCAGCCACTTCACTTGGGCACCTTTAAAGATGTTTTCGTGTAGCAGGTCCAGTGCTGTCATGTATGGCAGTGTGCAGGTGTTAACCTGCAGCTCTACATTTCCTGCTCGCTTCACTGTGGAGTGTTGGACCCAGGCGGGTGCGATTTAGGGAGGGTATCTCTCGGCATCTCCCTGCCCTCCCACTCTGATAGGTACATTGTTCGGAAGCTTAGTCCAAGGGGACCGAATGTGTCTTTCACACTTGTACCACATTTGCCTGACAGTTTCGCTGGGTTGATTGGAGCCTTTCCAGAAACTAACCGTAAGCAGGCTTCCTATAAATCAGCTGTCAGGCTTTGGCAAATAGTCTGTCAGCTGCACTTTCTGTTGTAAAGGGGGAGGAAAAGGTGGTGCTCATCTGCAGGTCAGGGTGAGTTGTCACAGCCGGCTGAACTTCATCGTGATGGCGAGTGGCCTTAATACTGTGCCTGTGACAACACGCCCTCCCCCCCCCCCGTTCTGCTTGTTGCACCTTCTGTGTAGCTGCTTTCCAGCCACCCTCGACCTCTTGCCGTTTCCTTCCTAGTACGAGTGGTGAGTGGGTGGTGGTCTCATAGATGAGGGGGAGCTGGTAAAAACTGTGCAGTGTTAAAAATCCATGGAGTTGCAAGTGTGTGGGAGGAGGCCCCCCGAGGAGCACATCCTTCCCAGCTGTCCTGCGCTCTCTGCCGGTTTCCCATCTGCTTTGTTAGGGCCAGCACTGTTTGCGCTGCTCACCTGCTCCATGTACATGCAGGTGTCCAAGCCCCACAGGCTCAGCTGAGTGGTTTCTTTCGTGCCTTCAGCCTTTTAGGTCCATGATTTACATAAAATGGACCCATTGTAAACGTACTGAGGTTTTATTCATGTCCCTGCTATCACAGCCCTGTAGATTTCTGTCACACCAATATCCCCTTGGTCCATCTGTGTTGGGTCCCTCCTGCTCCAGCCCCTCTCCTGGACAGTCTGCTGGCCTGGCTTCTGCACCTGTAGGCGAGCCTGGCATTCTTTGATCTCATGCAGTGGATCACCTGCATGTGCTATTTTGGGCCTGGCTGCTTCTCATTCAGTGTGATTTATCCATGTTATTGTGTACAGCAAGAGCTTCATTTCCTTTTTATAGCTAAGTGGTATGCTGTTGCCTGTGTATACCACAGCAGGTCATGCATTCGCCATAGATGGAAACTTTGGATAGTCTTTTTTTGGTTATCCTGGGTGCCGTTGCCATGGACAACGGTTTGTACCTGTGGTCCCATCTCTCAGGTCATTACCCACTCTTGGTTCTGGAGTGGCATTTCACGTTCCCACCTGCAGTGTTGAATGCTCAGTTTCCACCACCTCTTGACCAGTGCTTGGCATTTGTTCTGGTGTTGAATTTGAGCAATACAAAAAAGACTCAAAAGGCTATTATTTTGGGGATGTAGTGGTGCTAGATTTTTGTCTGAGTGTTCTAAGAACTAATGGCATACCATAGCATTTTCCCATTTTTAGTAGGAGATTCCTGGCTATATATTACTATAGTTTCTTTACCTCAGAGCCCTGTACCCTCAGCCATCGCGCCCCCTGCTTCCTGCCTGGTGGCTGCCAAGCAGCGCCCTGATGCTGGGTTCTCCTTTGCTGGATGCTTCATGTGAGTGCAGACATCTGTGGTGTGTTGTCTTTGTGCTGGCTGTTTAGCAAAGTCCATTCTCTTGTCACTTGAGCAGAACTTCCTTTCTCTGGTTGGATCTGTGTCACTGTGTGGATGTGCATGTGGACACTCAGTAACGAGCACCAGATTGTCCACACATCAGAGCTCCTGGTCCAGTTGTCAGACATTGACATGCTGCCTGGCCAGCCAGCCCTGGTGGTGGGAATGTGGGCACAGCGCAGGCACCCTACCCTCACCATCTCCACTCCCTGAGTGCACCCTCCTGGGCGGGAGGGCTCTGACCTGGGTCCTCCCTGGGGGCTCTTCCTTGCACCCCTGGCCCCACTGGGGTTTCCTTTTTATTTGTTTGCTCTTAGTTCCTCAGCTCTTACCTAGTTTTTATTTTTATTGGTTTATGTCATTTTGTTTTCCTTCGCTATTGTCTTATTGGAGTTTTGAGGGACAAGAGAAAATCATATGTCCCTTCTACCAGACTGAACCAGAGTTTCTGTTTTATGACCTAAGTATTGCTCACTCACTCTCCCCTGCCCCATAGCCTTTGCTGAGCTGTGAGTATCTCCCACCCAGTCACTGAAGTGCCCGAGGACTGGTCTTCTTGCTCTGGAGCCATCCTTCTGGGCTGTAGCTTGGGCACCCCTGCCTTTCCCTCACGCCTTTCCTGGCTTGCCACACCAGGGACCTCACTCCTCTTCAGGACTGGTGCAAGGGGCAAGCAGAACACCAAAAGGACAGCCAGGATTTTAGGCAGATTTATTTATATGCACAGGCACTGGTCACGATCATTCCCAGAATCATCAGGCCCTGATCTCTGGTGGTCTAGGGCTTATATGATATGCACAAGGAGGAAGTCCTTTGTCAGAATGGCTTGTCAGTTGGGGATTGGTTTATACAATGTGTATCACAGTGTCCAGCTGTGCATTACAGTGACCAGCCATTTGAAGTATACTGGCTGGGGCCATTTTCTGTGACACTGGTACAGCTCCTCAATAAGTCCTTCTATAGAGGGCTTACTGGTTGGCTCAGGTGTTTACGCGCCTGCCTGGGTAAACCCAGTCATGCTTGTAGGACAGCAGTTCGATCCCTAGCTCCACATGCCACATCACACCCGCCATTAAGGCTGCCTGAGCCCACCAAAAAATAAAAAATAAATCCTTCTAGGGCCGGCCAAATAGCTCAGTGGATTAAAGTACCTGCAAGCTGCAAGCAAGCGGGGGCCAGGGGCTTGATCCCCGGGCCTGCCGTACTCCCTGCCCCCTGGGCACACTGAGACAGTGATTGTGACTGGATGGAGACTGAGCATGGTGGTGCACGCCTGTAATCCCAGCTCTTGGGAGGCTGTAAACAGGAGAATCACTGAGTCAAATCTAGTAGTGAGACCCTGGACACCCCATAGACCCTTCCCTAAAATACAGAAAAGTAAATAAGTCCTGCTACTTGCCAGTCACTGATTCATTCGTTGTAGGATGTGAGTCCCAGCACCCTGTGCTGCTCCACCCAAGGGCTCTGCTCTGCGTTCTGAGTGGTCCTGTGCTCCTAGACCCAGCTGGGCTAGAATCAAGACACACCTGACACCCAGCGTGCTCCACTGGCCCAGCCCCACCTGGTTGCCCTTTTCTTACTACCGTTTCCTTGCAGGTTTGCACATTTTTTCTGTGCCCTGCATCCACAAGACAGCTGCTGTTACGTGTGACTCTGCATAGTTTGTTAGGGTATCTTGGTTTTCATAAGCATTGTGTGTTCATGGAAAAAGAAAAGAAAGTGTTTGGCTTGTTATGAAAACAGCTTCCGTGTCTCACACCTCAGAAGGATGCCAGGGATGCCAGGGGGTTTCTGAGTGTTGGCATCGTCCCTGCTGTGCCCACTGCTGTCAGGTGCCATACTGCGTACACTGTGCTGGATTGTGCATGCATGTTTCCAAAGCTGCCTTGTCATTCCATACGTGTCTTAGAGACCTTTCGGTGTCGGTATGAAGTGTCATGGCACTGTGTTCTCACTTCTTTTTCAGATCTGTGTTCGCAGTTTATATGTTGAACTTGGTAATGTTACGAAAGATAGTGGGAACTGTGGTCAGGGCCCATGTCATGAGAATAGCAGACGTGTGAGCTCCTTCTGTAATCGTGGGAGTGATGGAAGGTTTTGACCTGGTGGGGAAAAACTACGTGAATGAATTGGGAAGAGAAGAAACCAGAGAAAGTACGAAAATGAATGTGTTACTTAGATTTGGTGGCTGACTACTTACAGGTGGTAAAAATGAGGGATCGCAAGGCCAAAAGGAGCGGAGTGTGAGGAGAGGTGATGGATGGGTGTGGAGAGGTGGCAGAGATGGGCCCACAGCTGCACCCAGCTCAGGAGAACCGTAGGCTTTGGCTTTAGTCTTATTAGGTCCCGCCTAGCTCTGGCCTTTTTCCTCTTGCCTTATGTATTTAATAGCATCTAATTTTACCTTTGAGTAGCATATGCTGGTAATTTTGGAGTGTGAATCTAAAAATCTTATATAAAAATTGCACAGCCTATACCTGCCTCTTTTTTCTGCACTTACACATAAATAAATACATAAATAAACTCCACCTGGAAAAGATTTGGGAAAGACTACACTGACTTTTACATTTGGGGTTAAAAACATGTATTTTAAAAACATTTCCTGAGGTGCCACCGATGCTGGTGCAGGTTTAGCCCTGTCCCTGAGCCCATTAGAGGCGCGCCTAACATACTCTTCTCCTTGCTCACTCAGGTGTAGGACAGCTGGGGTGCATGCTGATGAGTCCCTATTCCCAGCAGCTAGCCCCAGCGAGCACACACTAAACCTGATGAGAAAGAAGGTGAGTGGAAATCTTGGGGTGAACCAGGGCAATTATTCACTTATTGACTTTTATTTATTTACTTTTAGGAAATCATTTTAGAGTATTTTCCAAGAGTTACCTTGTATACGAAAATTGTCATATTCTTTTCTGGTATTTTTAGGTTATTAACGATTTCTTTAGTCCACTGGTGGTAAATCTGTGGCATGCTTGCTGCAGTGGCCTGTTTATTATCGTTGGAAGCTCAATACTTTGATGTCTTTTGTGAAAAATGGAAGAGACTTGTTGGCCTCAGGAAATCTAAAAGACTAGCTAGCCTTCAAATGCTTTGGCGTTTACTTTAGTCAAGTCCTTAGCAAAACTGGAGAACAAGCTGTATAGTGGCCAGGCTCTAATCAGGCTGCAGGGTGAGAGCCTGGCACATTCAGTAATGAGGGCAGGTTGGGGAGGGACTGATGTTCTGAGTCAGGACACAAGCCTGGGCATAGTCCGAAAGGGCAAAAACAAATCGTGTCATTAGGAAGTGGACTAGTTCCACACCCTCCTGTGAGGTCCCTGTTTGGAGCACGTGGCAGAGTTGGCGATGCTGACCAGCAAGAGGAAACAGATGGGCAGCTCTCAACCAAGCAGTGTCTTAGCGGAGTTGCTTCCTCCCTTCTCTGTGAGCTTGGTGCCATTGGACACAAAACCAGGGCTCCTCTGGACACTGGTCTAGATTACATAGGCTTTGAGCAGGTTTGGGTTGAGTGGGCTACTGTGGCTTATAGACAAGAAGGGGTGATTAAATTAAAAGTTGTTTTCTTTGGTAATTCTAAGATAGTTACTTTGGTATTTTATTACTTGTGTCATGATTTTGGAGGGAAGATGATGTGAGGGCAGCCAAGTTTGGCAGAATGGATGACTCTAAGATGCTTTGTGGAGACTAAGGATGTTGGTATCCTGAAAGTGTCTTAGGACACAGCCTTTTGTTTAATCTTTAAATTCTGCTTTAAAAAAAAAAAATGACCCAAGAAATGCTATCAGGTCATAAGTAGTGCAAAAAACACCTCTATTGTTGTTGCAAAAGATAACAGAAACGTATGAAAGAGTTTTTTATTGTAATGTGGCATTATTAATTTTTATATCCTTTCTGCACAGCGTAAATGCATGCAACCCAAAGATTTCATTCCCAGAACACCAGACAATGATAAAAGACTTCAGAGAAAATTTGAGAAAATGACTGAAGAACTACAGAGACAAAAGACCACACTCGGTAAGGGGGTAGGCACCCTAGTGCCTTGCAGTTGTAGCTGTGTGCCCTGAGCTGGCCTGGTGGCTGATGGCCAGGCTAACTGAGGATGGCAACATGGGGTGAGGCCAGGCAGGAGAAGGCTGTCCAGGGAGCCGCAGGGACCTGCAGAGCTGGATGGAGCAGCACAGCGGGATCTTGTGGAACTGTCGCATCAGATTGCGCACTGGTGGAACCCTGTTGATTGGGTGACTGTAAAACAAAGTGATGTCTGATTAGTCTTACCAACACAAATCCCATGTGTTTCTTGACAGTGCTCAGACTTGGGCTTTTTGTTTTGTTACCCAAAATAGACAAATCTTAGGCAAGGTAGTCTTGATGATATGGGGAACCACCAGGCCCTACCATATGCAGGGGGTCATGTGTGGGTGTGGATGTGTGTTCAGCTGTGAGCAGTATTTAGTGGGGGCGAGCACCGATGCCCGGGTTAATGTCACACTTGGGAGCCACACTGCATCCTGGCTTTGTGGCTTCCTACTGGTGGTGTAACTTGTCTTCATCTTGGTGTGAGGACATGGTCACCTGGCGTACACATGGGTCTGGTAGGGTGAGAACTTACGTCCAGGGTCATGCAGGTGGCCAAGAGAGGCTGCAGACTGGGTGTCTCTGAGCGAAGTCATGGTGCAGAGACACAAATGCATTTTCTGGAGCCTACAGTTGAATTTCTGTCTGTTTGCAGATGACATTGTGCCTGTTTTATTTGAACCTTGTGGCTCATTGATGTACAGTCCCTCAATTAAAATTGGTAGTCCCCAGCACACGATGGAGAAGAGATTACAAGAGATGAAGGAGAAAAGAGAACGTCTTTCTCCTACCTGTAAGTGATCAGTTTATGAAATGCAAATTATGTAAATATGTGAATAAGTTTTAGTGGAGAGTTTTTTTCTTTAGGTATTTTTATTGAGATTTTTGGAGCTTATTGGAATATATAGTGTTCTCCAATTTAAAATCCTCCTTGTCAGAGCTCCTTTGTCATTTTTAATATCTCTGGAATACTTTTTTTTTTTAAAGAACTAATCATGTTGCTCTTCCAAAAGAATATACTCTGGCATAGTATAGCTAATTTGTCAGTTTATGATTTTTTAAAAATTCTTTTAACTATTTAACAATTGAATATCTAACAGTATAACCAATAATTTTTTTTTTTTATTTTGAAGAGAATTTAAAAATCAACAAAACAAACAACAATTTAAATGATACAGAATTTCAGGACAAGATGAGAGGAAATTAACAGTGTTTCACAATATTATACATTATAATCTGCAAAGTAGTTATCTTGCTCCCCACCTAATTATTTTCCCTTGTTGGAGCGTGGCCTCCACTGTAACTTGTTTTCCAGATTTGTGCAGTATCGTGCACTCCGTGTACATGGTAATGAGAAAGTTAGGTTTCTGTGTAGAGGTGCATTTGGTTTTTACTTAAATTGGATCATGTTGTTTGCGTTTGCATTTAGCCCTTTCCTGTGTCTTTACCTGATTTAAAAGTTTTGATATATGTTACCCTTCAAAAAATTTGAGTCATAGACGCCTTTCATCAATCATTATAAAAGCCCGACTCTCTGCATACTTTGAAAATTGGATGGTATTAGCTTTGACTCTTTTCAGTCTGAAAGAAATCTGAAGATTAGACGCCTTTACGTTTATTTTACTTTATTAGTGAAGTTGAATATCTTCATACGATTGACTATGACTTGCTAAATATAACAATACTTTTATCAACAATTGACTGAATGTTATATCTTTGTCTGTCTGCCTATTCTATTTTCATTTCTTTCTAATTTGTAAGAGCTTTTTCATTTCTTGCTGATTTAAGACAGTATAATCAATCTTGCATTTATATTTTGTGTGATAGAAATGGACACTGGTATCAGTTAGTTGTAGCTGCATGTAACAAATAGAAACAGTGGTGACCCAGGTAAGATTACCTTTGCTGTAAGTCCAGGGGTGGGCAGCCAGGGGTGGGCTGGCTGTGCAAGGTGTTTCTAGACTCTAGGGCCATCTCTGTGTTTCACTTGGTGCCTTGTGCCCAGCGAGCCCTTCTCCTTGTTTTCCCAGACTGCCTGTCCATATTCTTCCCTCATCCCAGGGCCAGACCTCGTCCCCAGCCACTCCAGGTAACCAGCAGGACTGAACACAGGCAGTGCCAGGGTGCAGTCAGAGTTCTGTCCTTAAGAGGACAGAAGAGTGGGTCTTGGAGAAGTAAGCTTTGTCCCCGGTGGAGTCCAAGCTGTTTTGACACGTCGTTCTGTGTGAGAGTTAATACATCTTCAGCTCATCGATTGCATTGAAGTGCCTTCAGCAGCCAGTGCTCACCTTCCCTATCTCCAGTTACTCTGTTTTTATGGGGGCTTGATCAAGCTTTGTCAGAAAACTTTCCTTTTGAATCTCTTTTAACAGTATCTGGGTATGCAAGCCATACACGTTTTTTTCTGTGGGTCACATCATCACATTTAAAGATAACATTTGCAGCCTTATTTGTTAACATCATTGGATGTTTCCGCTAGAGTTTCTCACTCTCAGCACTGTTGCCATTGGGCTGGGTGACTCCTGCTGTGGGGACCCTGTCAGAACCGTGCCTTGCTATCCCTTTCCCTTGTGACATTGAAAATGTCTCCAGACAGTCGCTGCAGACCCACATGCCCCTGCTGAGAACTGCTGCTCTAGTTATAAAGGCTAGCAGAGGGCGCTTCCTGGAAGAAAGAGCAAGGCCATCAGGCTGGAAGCCAAGCAGAACACCCGCACTTGCCCTTGTTAAGCTTCTGACTACATTCATGTGGGCAGGTTAGCTTTTCAGAGCCCATGTAACTTTGTGGTTCTGTCGTTTTGTACTTCTTAAGTAATATGACTAATAGAAATATTTCATGATTTTGTATGTACTAGATTGTCCTAAAGTTTTTGTTTGTGCATACTGTTTCAAGTTTAGTCTGGAATGTGTAGCAAAAAGAAGATAGAAGGTAATTTGTATGTATTATGTAAGACCAGGGAACCCTGTCTCAGAATAAGCAGTCAGAAAGGGCTAGGGATTATGGCTCTGTACAAAGTCCCTAGGGTCCAGTCTCCACAGTGTGTGATGGTCGACACGCTGGTGTCGTATCCTCTAGAAAGCACTGAATGAAGCCTGTGAGATGTTTCCCTTCTCGTGGCAGCTTCCCAGAGGACCGAGCTGGCCCAGGAGAACCCGGATGACAGTCTGTACGGAGCTTCTCTAAACATTCCCCAGGATACTTCCTCTGCAGGTAAAATTACTATTTTCCTTGTGGTACATTTAAGATATGAGAATTTAATGATTGTTTAATTTAGAATTTCATGTTAATTCTGATGATTGGAACAACTGGATAAAATTAAAACTCAAAAGATTTTTTCTGAAACCTGATATTTTGATAAAATAAACGCATGAGAAATGCCTGAGTTCGCTCTCCCCCTCTGGTTCCTGTGCTCTTCCTCCTGGGCATCTTTTTCTCGCTATGGAATCAATTGCCTACATTGTAAAGTTCTTGTGACCTCTACTGTGTGCGCATTAAACAGTAGAACAGGGAGCAGTCGGAGCTCAGCAAGCGTTGCCTTGCTCAGCATGTGGAGGACAGAGGTGCGTGTCACGGCGTGAGGCCAGGGTACATGTGCAGGTTTTTCACCTGGGGCCCCAGCCTGACCTGTGGTAATAGGTCATAATTTTCCTTTGGCTATTTCAAATTCCTTGTCGTTTTCTGACCCAGCCTGTGAGAGGGCCTGAGTCAGTAACGGGTAGAAAGAACTGTGTTCAGAGTGTTTGGAATGTGGGGGTACTGTTATGATTCGTGTCTTCTTGTCCCCACAAAACCTCATGCAGTCATGGGGCAGACTTGTAGAGTTTGTGATTAATTCATGATCCAGTGCTGGGATTATGGGTGTGAGTGATCCTAGGATTATAGATGTAACTGCCTCTCCACCGCTGCTCCTCCCCTTTTGCTCTTGCTGTTTGGCTGTTTTCCACTGCCATAAACTGCTGCCTTCTGCCATGTGCCACCCTGCCTGCAAGCCAGCCACATGTAGACTGAAACCCCCACCAACTGTGAGCTAAATAAATCTTTCCTTTCTTCGTTCTGGGTGTCAGGTATTTTTGTCCCACCAGTGAGAGAAAAGTAACCGAGACAGGTACCTTGTTAGGAAAATAATAGCAGTTACATGCACAGGGTTGCGATGTCATAAGCCCTGGCTTCCTCTTGGTACATCCTGTAGTCAGTTTTGTTTTGTTTTATTGATAAAGGGTATTTTTATAGACTCCAGGCCAGCCTTCGACTTGCTGTATGTCCCAAGCTGGCTTTGAACTTGAGATCATCCTGCCTCAGCCTTTGGAGCACGCAGATCACAGACATGTGCCACAACACCTGGCTAATGCAGTGTTTATTCTTGGTATTTCTTCTGTACACGTTTGAATTATTTACCTTTTTAACTAGTGTTTTCTATGTTTAATAGAATTATAGTGGTGCCTCGGTTTGTGAACACTTTTAAGCATTTTTAGCACTTTTGTTTATAAATAATTGGTTCATAAGCAGAAACAATTTAGCAAAATTTTGTTTTTGTTTCCAAACTCTGTATCTTTGGGCAAACGCAACTATAGCCATGTTTTCCAAAATTGTAGAATCCATCAGGTTCATGAACCAAGGTTCCACTGTTTTCTCATAGGCTGGAAACAAAATGATGACAGCGGCTCACGTGGACTCCACTTCACTGTGCGCAGGTGCTGACCTGTGGGTCTTACTAAACCCCATTGAATTCTCCCTTAGCCCAGGGAGTAGGTGCCATCCCAGCCCCCCGTGCCAGAGAAAGAGCCAGGGCACCAGGAGGCCAAAGCTTGCCCAGGACATGCCTTAGGAGTGCCGCCTGCAGGGTCCTAACTTGGTCTGACTTTACACTCTCCCTCTTAAGGGTGTGTCACCCCACGTGTCAGCTTTCCGAAGTGCGAGAAACATGTAGATGCTAAAACTGGAAGTGACCTGCGTTTCCCGCCTCTACCCTAAAGACACGTTGGTTGGCAAAGGTACCACCTGCTGCCCACTGGGCCTCTGCGCCCTTGGTTCCCTGAGCACAGCTCCACAGGAGGCCCTTGTGGCCCCCTTCCTTCCTTCATAAAGTAGTCGGTGAGTTCAAAGTGAGGACGCTTGTGTTGCCTCCAGATTGTATGGCCTCTTAAAGAAGGAGAGGCCAGCCCTGGGCCAGCTGTCATCAGATGAGGGAAAGGTAACTTTGGTCCTCTAGCAGGAGGAGCCTGTTCCCCTGCCATAGAGGTGGGAGTGATGGCCCACACCTGGGAGGCCAGCCTGAGACCTACAGGGCACTGATATCTAACTGGTGACGGAAGAAGAATCCCGGCAGAAGAGTGTGGGACCGCGTGGAGGTGGCCATGAGCTCCATTACTCTCAAGGAAGGCGTACGCTGTTTGGGCAGCTCAGAAAGTTAAGGTTTCCCACGTGGCTCACTTTGGAATACAAGTATAGCGTAAGGACTTCACCAGAAGACTGGGAAAATACAGATAGCTCTGCTAATTGGGGGAATATCTTGTGCAAGACTGCAGCTCGACGAGATCGTGTCAGGCAGTAGATCTTTCATCGTACACACTGGAGAATTTGGTGAGAAGCTATAGCAAAAGGCACACATGCATATGAAAATATGCTTAACTTTAGAGCCTCTCCCTGCCCCGTGCAGAAGCCCAGATTCCCTGGCTGAAATTATAAGCCTTACGGAGGGCCCTAAAAGGAAATGAGGAGAATCAGAATTGAGTCAGTACTCTTCTTAACTAAAAGCTGTGCTTGAAAAGTGTTACTTTATTGGTCACCCGGAGGTTCTATTTATAATTTAAACTTCTGCAGTTAATTCTTTGTTAATATTTTCCAGATGAATCCTTTGGTGGTGGTTTACACTCATCTTCTTGTGATGACCTCTCTGGAAATCAGGAGAGGAAATTAGGACAATCTGTTAAGGAAATGACAAGTGGCGTGCGCAGTTCCTCACCTGTCCTGAGCACGGGCCACGCACCTCCTCTGGCATCGTCCAGCTGCCTCAGTGAGCGGAACCCCCAGAAGTCCATGAGTGATCTTCCCAAGGAAGAAGTCAAGTGGCCGAGAGACCCAGGCAGTGAAATTGTCACCCCAGACAGAAAGCAGGCTGCAGTGGCGTCTGAGGTGAGTGAGGAGAAGGGCAGCCCCTCTCCCACGACAACCGTAGCTGGAGGGCATCTCGGGCTGCACTCAGTACCCAGAAGCTGCTCGGCCAAGAAGAAGAGGACGCTGGCAGACTCATGGTCGCCTCTGAGAGAAACGCCGAGGAGGAGCAGGAGCAGGAGGAGCAGCAGCTGGAGGCCCGCGGTGCCCGGCGTGCAGCTGCTCAGATCTGGACACAGCCTGCAGTATCCATCCGTGTCCACCCTGGGGACTCCTGACAATGTAGCATCGTCTTACGAGGATTACTTCTCCCCTGAGAACCTCCAGGAGAGGACCTCCGGGCATCGTCGTCCTGGGTCTCAGCTGTCAGCAGGCCCTGCCCACTTCAGCTGCAGAAGCCTTTCGCAGAGGGAGAGGGCAAATATCCTAGAAATGTCGGACTTTTCCTGCATTGGCGAGAAGGTCAGATTGGGCAGCATCACTGATTTGACAGCAAAAGCGCACTCCAGCCTTTGGAGACCTACAGGCTTGGCTAGGGAGGCCACGCCTGCTGCTGAAGAAGACCCAGGGCACTGCAGGCAGGCTGGGCGTCCCCAGGGAGAAGATGCAGGAACCATGGGAAGCCACCATCCCGTCACCCACGGCCCTGCTGGTTCAGGGCAGGAGGGCAGCAGCCACTCCCCCGTGCAAGGCAGTGGACCAGAGAGAGGACTGGCTGGCAAGAGAGGCACCCAGAAAGAGGGCCCTGCCACCACAGTGCCAAAGTCCCCCTTGGGGTCCGCACAAGAGTGTGAGCTGAGTCTTGGAGAGGAGCAGTCTGCAGGGGAAGAAAAGGAAAACGTAGCCCTGGGATACAGTGGAAGTATGTCAATCTCCTTTTCCCAGTATTTCTGTTACACAAACATGTCACCACAGTCCACCTTTTAAATGCATCACAAATTCTTCATAATGTATTTTCCTTCCTGGAACACTTCCTAATTTTTAAAAATGTGTTTGCTGTTTTCCAGTGAGAAATTCTTTAGGCATGCATGGCTTGTCACCTGTGGGAGGTCTAGGCATACTGGTCAGGTTCTCAGGGCTACCTTTCCCCTTGGCCTTCTTGGTCTTACAGAAAGTCAGCAGAGCCCTCTCTGGCAGGAGTCAGAGTGGAGGTTTTTCCTGGCCAGCCCAGTCCCTCCACAGGAAGTGGCCACGTGTGTGGAGGCCACAGGTAGAGCTCTTCAAACCTGGGGTCATGCTAGTGAGGCTGTGTATTTTAAAGACAATTAGGATAACGTGAGCCACTGATCATTTCAAGAAAGAGGTTTGAAAATAGATTTTGACATGTTTTGTTATCAATTTTTAAAGAAACTAGGTAATGTTAAATGTAAGGAAATATTTTTAAATTTTTAAAAGCTTTTTACCCCAGGAGAAAGTTTATTTATTAAAAAAAAAAAAAAGAAGAAGAAACTTTATTTATGATAGCACTTGTTTGACTTCTACTTACTTTGCTTTAGGTATACCATTTAGTTGATTTTATTCCTAGCTTTAATTTGTACACATTACAGTGGCTAATTTATTGAACATGTAATAATGAACTATATAATTTTAGTAATTGCAACAGAGGTAGCAATAATAAAAGACACTTCGCACTTAGGTTCTAGCAGTGTTAAAGAAATCTTGAGCTTTGACCATACTGACCTGAAAAGTTATTTAAAATGTGAAAGTTGCGTGGGGTGGCGCAGAGCTGTGCCCTCAGCACATTCGAGGCTGGGACAGGAAGATCCAAGCTCAAGCCACCTCGGTGACTTAGTGAGACCCTGCCTCAAGGAATACACTGTAAATAATTTTAAAGGGCTGTGGGTGTAGCTCAGTGCGGCAGTCTGGATTCAATCCCAAGTACTGCTAAAACACAAAAATGAAGCGGACCATCTCTACTTTTCAAATGATTTTTAACCACCATTTTCAAGATGAAGTCATGGGGTTAAAGTAATTACATATGTATCTTTTCCTTGAGCATAAACTCCCCAAAATTATCTTACAAAAAGATTTAAAACACTTTATATTTTAACCTTGCTTTTTATATCTTAGCTTTCTGAACATATATTAAAATCTACGAGAAACTGTATATTACATTAGGCTTAATGTGTTTTTAAAATATTTGTAAAATCATGTTGATTCTAAAGTATTAAACAACATGTATGTAGAATTGTTTTTGTAGTTCATAATTCCCTGATTTTAAAGGTCCCAGTCTCCTTTTTGTCCGGTGTATGTTGTTAAGCTTGATGACATGAACATTAAGGAGGGGGCCTGGTATCCCCAAGGGGCACATTTCTGTCCTGATGTGGTCTGTGGTCGGGAGTGGGACAGTCTCAGGAGGCAGTACACCCTGTACATCCCTAACCCCACCTCTGGCTGAGTGGAGGAGGACGCAGGCAGCATGCCTAGCTTCCTGGACCGGAAGGAGAGGAAAATCATTTGGAAATCACTCCGCAGAGCTGTCGTGGTGTGGGCAGGACCTGGCGTGACTCAGATGAAGTCTGCTGTTCGCCCGGCGCAGGGCATCTTCTGCCCTCGTGTGCTTTAGTTCATGTCCCCAAGAGAAGAGTGTTTCCTAGCCTGGATCTAGCCCTTTTCATGAATATTCTAAATTGTCCCCTGGCACTTGGCGAAACTACCATAGATAAAACCCTACCTGTCCAAACTTCAGAGCATGGAAGACTACTCTATATATCCACCTAGACCTCCCTGCTCTTTCCTGTTGGAATAAAAGTTGATTTCTGTCTTCAGGGCCCTCTCGGTTCTTGCTGTGGTCTCCAAGATAGTGTACAATAAAGGTTTCCGAGACAAGTTACCAATTCAGTAATAAACGTTAATGAAAGTTCAGGACTTAATTTTTTAAATAATCTTTAAATATTTTTTTCCTTTTTACATTTTTATTCCCAATTGTATAAGTAGTCCTAAAGTACATTCCCATTGTAATAAAGACTTAAGAAAACAGTTTTCCCCCATCACGTTCCTCACTGCCTTCCTTCCAGTAAAGTACTTCATAGCAGGGAAGCGGTCTGCTTGTCCCTCAGGTGCTCTTCTGGTTGGTGAGGAGCGACCTGAACGGTGCCCCTGAGTTCATTCCTGGGGCAGGCAGGAAGCAAATGCTTACATCATGTGGAGGCCAGAGGCAAAGGCTGAGGAAGTGATGAGAAGGAGCCTGGGACTGCTGCTGAAGTCACCGCAGTGTTAGGTTAGGCAAGGACAGGTGTCCTGCGGTAAAAGGCCACAGGCTGTGCAGCCAAAAGCCCTGGAGCGAAAGGAGGTTGGGAGAGGCTGCAGGAGTTGGTCTTCAGTGTCCCCTGTCCCCGCTGAGGCATGGTTGGTTGGGTTAGTTTTCCTGTATGTTTAGAAGCTGCTCAAGCGTTTTAGCTGGGGAAGACCAAAAATACAACCCCAGATACTTTGGAAAACAGCTGGTTTAGAAGGCGTGGTGCTGAAGCAGTCACAGTCGGCAGTGTTTCCTCCCAGACATCTGTGCATGTGGACACACACACCACAGCAAGCAGTGTATGGGATGGTTGTGCACACATGGGGTAACATTATGCTAGTGCCTTGAACTTAATGTTTCTGATACATTTGTTCAGGAGATTTACTTCCCTTTTTAGTGTAGCTTATTTCTGTAATGGGTCAGGTAGTAAATTGTTTGTGGGCCAAACAGGTATATAGATACTTGTGTAGATGGTTAAGTGATAAAAGAAAGACACTGTCATGGTTCATTTCTGGGTGTTCCCCCACAGCCTCATACCGTCGTGGAAGACAGGCTTTTCAGAAGTGGCTCATTTGGAGCTTCTGATTGGTTCATGGTCTGGTCCTGCGTACAGTGTAAGGGAGGGAAAGAGGCTGGCTCCGCCTTTTTCGCCCATTTTACTCTTGCTTTTGCTGTCTTCCACCACCCTGAACTGTGGCCCTCTGCCACACCACTCTGCCTTGAAACCAGCTGCTTATGGACTGAAACCCACAAATTGTGAGCCAGATAAACCTTTTCTTTCTTCATTTAGGATTTCAGGTGTTTTGTCTCAGCAGCAAGAGAAAGTAACTATGACAGACACTTTCACAAAACACATATTGATGCAACTGAAAATTGAGTAAAATCTTTGTGATGCAGGTCTACTGAGAAGAATAGAACTCTTCGGGAGGGAAAGTTGCATTTCACTTAACTGAGGCAAATTGAGTATTCCCATCACCAAAATTAATTTTGTGAAGGCTGATGAATAATATCATTTATAGTGATTTTATGTGTTTAACCTCTGAAAATGCTTTTATTTGGCTCACAGTTTGTGGGTTTCAGTCCATAATCAGCTGGCTCCAAGGCAGAGTGCTGTGGCAGAGGGCCCCAGTTCAGGGTGGTGCAGACAGCATTACATCATAAATGTCACACCCTGGGCATGGTTTTGTTTTTTTTTCCCCCGGGAAGGGTCTACAGGGTGTTTAGGGTCTTCACTACTACATCAGACTCTCATGATACGCCTGTTTACAGCCTCTTAAGAGCTGGGATTACATGTGCCACCATAACCGGTCTCAACTGGCACCTTACTGTATCCTGGGGGTGGGGTCCCCACATGTCAGGCCCGGGGATTGAACCCCCAGCCCCTGCACCTGCTTGCAGGTGCTTTAATCCACTGAGCTATTTGGCTGGCCCTAAAAGTTTCTTTACTATTTTCTTTCTTTCTTTTTTTTTTTTTGTGGCTCGCTCAGCTGGCCCCCTAGCGGTTGGGCTGGCACAGTATGTGGTGCTGAGGATCAAAACAAGGTCCCTGCGCTTGCCTAAGCAGGCACTTTAGTCCACTGAGCTATCTCACTGGCCCCTGGTGCAGTTCTTAAGCAGAGTGTTCTGCTCATACTCTTTGCATAGAAGGTGTTTCCAGAATTCTGCTGCATTGTAAGTATCTTTCAGTGTGCAGATGATCAGTCATTGCAGTTGGAAGCTACATGGAGAGCTCTTCAGTTTTGTACTTTGGGATCGTCCTTGCCTCTTGCATCAGTCCTGGAAATGCTGCTGCATAAAAGTCTGAGCTCAGGAGGGCCAGCCAGATAGCTCAGCGGATTAAAGCACCTGCTTAGGCAGAACGCAGCAGCTGGGGTTCGATCCCCAGCATGCTGTGCCAGCCCTGCCCCTGGGGGGTACGCTGAGACAGCGATTGAGACTTGGCATGGTGGCATGTGCCTATAATCCCAGCACTTGGGAGGCTGAAAACAGGAGGATCACTATGAGTCCGACTTGTGTAGTGAGACCCTGTAGACCCTGTATTAAACACATTTTTCAGAAGTCTGAGCTCAGGAAAAATGTCCACAGCAAATGCACATGAGAACATAGACTTTTTTGGTAACTTTTAGCAGCACATAAAGCTTGTTATTTTATTGAAATAATCCTCTCCCGCTCTGACACTGCTGACTGCAGCTGCGAAACTCCTGGGCCCACTTGGAATTACCACATAGATAAAAGCAGTGTCATCTTTGGCTATGGGGCATGGCTGGGATCCCAGTTGCCTCCCACTAATAAAAGGGAAGAAGAGGAGCCATGTGACCACCAGTGTAAGCAGGTCCTTTCTATACGCCACTACTGATAGTTTAATACATTCCCACTGGCTTGAGCCAGTAGTTTGCATGACTGACCCATACAGTGGCTGGTAGCACTGGTATGAACAGATCTAATCACTTTATTGTTCTTTTTACTAATAAAAAAAAAAACTTGCATGAGACAGTCATGTATGTACCGCTGGTGGGTTAGGTTATCCAGAAGCAAGAAATGAATTACAGCCCCATTGTGAATGTGTTAGTGCAGATTTCTTCAGTGCTGTGTGATAGGATTTTACATGTCAGCATTTCATACAT